ACCCAGTATTCCATATTTTTTTGGAAACTTTGGGACTCCTAAGAGGTGAACATTTTGCTAAGGTAATTTTTATGTAAAACATGTCCTTTTTAGCTGTAGATTCACCTTTCCCATTTGTGCTATATATGTGCGGCCATGGAGAACTTCGCCAATAGCCCTACTATAGCCGTAAATTAAAAAATTATAATATTATATTATTAATAATATGTGAACTTTAAAAATTGTATTTACAATAAAATTAAGTAAAAGAAAAAAAGACTGTTATGTTCTTCTAGATATATTAAACAAGCTGCTTTTGTTACTATATATATAACTAGATGTATTAAGATTGTTTTTACATGTAACATCACAAAAGACATGGATGAGTACCGAGATACATGTGACCAGTGAATCATGATGTTATTTCTTGACAACATGTCATGGAACTCCATGCCAGATGCTCAGTACCAACTTAAATAAATATAATACGCTTTTTCTTTTTCTTTTTTTTTTACAATCTACTAATGAACTTATACTATATAATCTTTCAGACATTCAGGTATTTTACGTCATCGACCACTTACAGTAGGTACTTCTTGAAATAGGTTATTTAAATACACAGATAAATCACTATCACTCTGAGATAAATCATTATCACTATTAACAGAACTATTAGATACATTTGAATTAACAATACTATCACTAAGGTTTACATTAGAATTATTTAAGTCCTTATTCGGTATAACAGTAGCATCACAGTTATTGGTAGCATATAACATATCAAAATCATATAATATATCATCAATATTAACATCTACATTCGTGTTATTAATAAATTACCTATTTCTTCTGAATTCATTACCATGAACATCTTTAATGTAATATGACCTATTATTGCATTACCTCATTATTTTCCCTTTTTGCCGTTTATCATTTTTCCTAAATAATACATTGCTATTGTTTTCTAATTCTGGTAAGTCTTTTGCATGTTTGTCATAATATTTTTGATTTTCAGTTTTTTTTTTCAACTTTTCAGATATTTTATCTGGACTTATTATTTTAGGTTCTAAATTTATTACAGACATAGGTGTTTTTGTTTTTAATATTCTATTAAGCAACAACTGAGCTGGAGAATAACCTAAATGTGGTAATGGTGTGTTGCGGTATTCCAATAAACATCTATTTAAATTACTACTTGTATTTTTTTTCAAAATATTTTCAATAATTTCAGCCAAACCATTAGACTGATTATGGTGCGGACTTGAGAAAATTATTTCAAAATTCCATTCACTGGCAAATTTTTTAAAATTGTGACTATTATAGGGTATATTGTCTGCATATAAAATATCAGGTACACCAAATCTACAAAACAGATTTGTACATAAGTCAATAACAGTTTCTATATTTTTATTTTTTGTTTCAAAAACTTCTATCCAATTCGAGTAAGCATCAACAAAAAGTAAATAATTTTTATTATTAAATTCAAAAAAATCAGAGCTTAGATATTGCCATGGCCTATTTGGTAATGGGTGAGGTACTAAAGTTTCATATTTCACAATTTGAAATATATTTTTCTATATCAGAATTAATTCCTGGCCAATACATTACTTGCCTTGCTCTTAATTTGCATTTTCTATACCAAAGTGTGCTTGATGAATCAATTGTAACATTTCTTTTCTTAGACTTGCAGGTACTATTATTTTCGTATTTAAGAACAGAAGATCATTACATAAAAATAAATCATTTTTTAAATTATAATAAAACATTAATTCTCTTGGGATTGTTCTTATATCTTTTGGCCATTCTGTAAGACAAAATTCTTTAACTTTAGACAAAATCTGATCATTATCGATTGCATTTTTAAATATAACTTTTTTTTCATTTGACATTGGTATATTGTTAAATTAAATGCACATTATATTCTACATCGAGATCACCTAATGTCTCTGCGTTGTCAACAAATCTGGATAATACATCAGTATTTTATTGTAATATCATATCTCAATAATTTTAATAACATTTTTTGTAATCTGACACTGATTTTATTTAAATCTTTATTAAAAATAGACACAAGGGGATTGTGATCTGTTTGTACTATTATGGGTCTACCATACGCAAAATAATGACATTTTTCGAAAGCAAAAACTATTGCCAGCAATTCTTTTTGTATTTGTGCATTTTTTTTTCTGTGGTACTTAGTGATCTTGATGCAAAAGAGATAGGCTTATCCTGCAAAAGGAAACAATCTAAACCTAGGCTAGAGGCATCACACTGTATTATAGTCTCTTTATCTTCATCAAAAATAGCTAAAACTGGTTTATTACAAATTATATTCTTTAAATTTCTAAATTTCATTTCATGTTCATTTGTTCAATTAAAATTTACATTGTTATGTGTTAACTGCCTCATATTATAGGTTAAATACGACAAATTTGGAATAAATTTAGAAAAAAACTTGAACATGCCTAAAATGTTTAATACTTCTTTTTTATTACTAGGACTCTGTAAAGCTTCAATACTCTCTATATTGTGTAACTGTGGTTCAATACCATTTTTAGAAATTTGCTGTCCCATATAATTAACTTTATCTAGTTTATATTGAAATTTATCTAAATTGAATTTCACATTAAATTGTCTAGCTCGCTCAAAAACTTTTATTAAAATATTATCATGTTCGGTTTCACTATTTGCAGAAATAATTAGGTCATCAAAGTAAATGTTAACACCCTGAATGTTACCAAAAATTTGAAAACATTTTTTTTTTTAAATTTCAGGAGCGGAACAAATTCCAAAGGGTACTCGGTTAACTTTGAATCGTCCAAATTGAGTATTAAAAGTACAATAGTCTGAGCTTTGCTTATTTAATTGAAGCTGCCAAAAACCATTTTTCATGTCTATGACAGAAAATATCTTTTTACCAGATAAGCCACACAAAATATCTTCACATTTTGGAATCATATAATGTTCACGGCAAATAATCTTATTCAAAGGCTTTGGGTCTAAACAGTCTAAGATTTCCATTATGTTTCTCTAATATTAATTTCTCCCGGAATACAACCTAAACCTTGATGAATATCAGCATAATCTACTAGTAAATCATTTTTGTATTTTGGCAAATTCTGTGTCATATTTTCTGGAATAACATTATCAATTCGTCTGATCAGATCAAATTTTAAACAATCAGGCAATCCCAAAATTGGTTCAGACACAAAATCAACAACAACAAAATCAATTCTACACTACCTATTTTTATAATTACAGTTTAGAGTTACTTGACCTAGAGGTTTTGATTTGAAATTTCCATATGATACTATTGTAACTAATGTAGGATTAATTTTGTAGCTATTTTCACTAAATTTATGCATATACTTAATAGGTAATATACTTGATTCAGCACCCGTATCCAATTTAAAATTTATGAAAGAATTGTTTACTTGCAACTTCTGGTACCAACATCTTCCAATGTTCATAGCTTCTATTGTGTCAATAATGATTGAATCACAAAACTCTTACTTCTTTGACTTGAGCTTCTTTCTTCCTTTTTTTAATATTAAAATATATGAATAAATGTAAAAACAAATTTTCATAAGGTAGCCAGCAAACTTATCTATTTATATATAAAACAATGCAGCCAGCTTTTCGTTAGTCTCCACTTTTAACAAAACATTTTAAAAACATACCTATTGAATATTTTTATAAAACAGGTTTATTTGGCCGCCTTTTAAATTTGCAAATTTACTTATAATGTCTTCATAAACTTGGGGATCGGCACTAAGACATTGCAATTGTTCTTTTTATATCGCCATCACTGATAAGTTGTTTAAGTTTAAGGTGCTCTTGTGTCATCATATTTCTTAAGTAGGTACCTAGGTAAGTCTTAATGCGCTTAAGACACGAAAAGTTTCTTTGTATGTTTCCGAAAATACCATTTTAAATTCCTTGTATAATAATTCTACCATTTTTTGAACCTCTAAATTACGAAATTGTTCGTCTTTGTGCAAAATATTATGTTCACCTTTCAACTTATCTATTTAAAAAACGTTTGGATTGTAAAAACATTCCTGAAAACGATTTTTCAGGAAATTTGTCTGTATATTCGGGAAATTTTGAAGAATTTACTAAAGCAAAAAAATTTAAATCATGTAAATTCCCAAATCTAGTGGGTAATTAATTAAAGGGAAATATATTTCAAAAATATTTCCAGTTCATCGCAACTTTTACCCCGTTTACTTGGTAGTCCGGTAATATTTTTTGCATAATTAAAAATATTTTTAAAAAGTCATTTCAATATCATGAGAGAGATTCATTATTAGTTATACATATATTGTTAATATAATAGGTATCTATTAAATTACGTTAAAGTTAGTGTTACTTTATTTTGTTGCATTTACTTTAAATTAATACCTGCCTCCCTCACATTGATATCAGAAACTACCCGCGTACTATGCGATGCGTACATTAACCGCGAACTGGAACTACAAGTACAAGTCGCTTTAAGCGGGCCTCAGTTCCTCCGTAAATCACGTTATTTTTAATCGGCTCGCGTGGAGGAGGAACTGTATGTAGTATACTGTAGGCAATATTCAAACAATTGTTTTGATTTTTGATAAATGTAATAGGTAATTGGAAATTAATTTACCTAACTGATTATTTAGGTTAATACAGGGGTCGGCATAAGTCAGGCAACGCTCTCGAAAAATCGGCATAAGTCCGGCAACGCTCATAAGTCTGGTAACGCTGTCGAAAAAGATTAAAACGTAGCATGTTCGTGCTTCAGACAGTTGTGTCTGTGTCATGAATATATTAACACGTGCTCGTCGAGTAGACGCGTTTTCAGAATAAAAATTAATGCTCTTAATGCAAATTGGTTGCCTGACTTATGCCGACCCCTGTACCTATTAAAATATAGAGTGTGAGAGCCAAATTTTACAGCAAGGCCTGGCCTCAGTTGCTTCATACGACGATCGTCCACTATTATATATAAACGATTTTAAATTAAAATCAATTTCAGTGATACTTACGCAATAATAGAATTACTTTGGGCAGACATTTTATAAACAGGTTCATATGGTCCAATACGTATTTCTAATGTTACGTCATAGGGGATATTAGGTTCACCTACTGCATTCCCTAAAGAGAAGAAAACAAGAGGGAACCATATAATCCCAATTATGATTGCCAAAATTACAGTTCCCATGGCATATTTTACTAAAGGTGCCTTCTTTTCACCTCTGGGTTGAGGAAATTCATCTTCCATGTTTCTTGTACACTATAATGAAAATAATTTAAGTTGTAATGGGCATAATTCATATAATTATTATAATACTGCAGCTTGATAATTTTTATTTGTCTAGGCTAGCTATATTTGGTACGAAAAGGTATAAAAACGTAGCAGAAATCGAGGGCCATTTTTTATGAAAATTATTTCAATGTTGATTTTTTTAGATTTGTTTCAAAAGATATAAATTAGTAATCTTGGATAAGTTCGATAAACAGGTTAATATATCACCACAGTTAGAGTGATTTCAGCAGATCTTTTTTTAGTCCCTGTTTATTGAAATTTCAAAATTAATATCTGTAAAAAAATTAATTGATACAAAAATAGGTACATATAGTTATAGGCACAAGGTGACTCATAACTGTTTTTTTTTTATTGCAATCTATCCCTTTGCTGCCAAGATATGTGAATGGGACAAGATGCAAGCATGTGTAAAACTACTTCCGAAATCAAATACATAATCAGAGAAATATACGAACACTAATGTAAAATGATTTTATATGAAAAAATTCATCCTGTTTTTTTTTACAGAAATTATATAGGAACTCAGAAACGTTTTAGTGATGTTCGTCTAGTTTGATTGGAAGATAACATCACAAGTATTTATTTTTGACCAACCTCATATATTTTAGTTGCATCAGATAAAATTTTGGAAAACTGAAACAATTATTAAAAAAACCACAAGATAATATATAAGTTTTGGCATAAATATTTCATGCCTGTAGTTTTATTTCATGGATAATAAATGATTTTTAGAGTCCATTGTCCAAATTTATTATTGCTATGCAATATTTATTAAATAAGCTGTGAAAATTATGAAGTAAATACAAGTTATCTAATTTGGACAAGTTAAACAAAAAACAAAATCAATTAAATCAATTTTTCAGTTTGTGAGATTATAGTAGTTTTGCAATTAATTATATTAATATCTCATTTTTTTTTCAATTTAATTACATGAACACATATTTGAAAAGTTTTAGACTAGATAGGGTAAAGGATATGCATAGGCTACCACATTTATCCGAATTCAATCCTATTCATGGTTGACTAATTTTCGAAATGTTTACCACTTCGTGCAATAAAAAAGACTATTATTTTATAAAAAGACTGTCTAAATCTAGATAAGGTTAAGGGAATTTATTTTATTCACAATAGGATCCTGTACAGTATGATTTCAGAAATGAAATGACAGATTACTAGCATTTTACAATAATAAAAAAAATCTCAATATTAATTAAGTAATATTACACATTATAAATGCAGTTTTAATAACCATGTATATCCACATTTCTCACATTAAAGAAATACATGCAGTTTTAAATGCAGCCTAAATATGAAAATTAATATTGAAGTTAGTACAACAAAGAGATACAAGGTAAAAACCTGCAAACTGACATGTTTTTATTTTAAGAACCATCTACCCAGAGTAGTTTGTTGGTTTGGACCTGTTTACATTTGAAAGCATAAAGCAAAAAACACATGAACACAGTATTTCTGGCCTGTTTTATAAATTGATGCAACACATTGATACCTCCACATCCTGAGAATAAAAAGTACCAATATAATGTACATATAAACAAGGTGGGTTGTAAAAAGTGGAAGGACATGTCACCTTTTTAATTACTAGATTTTGAAAATATTGATATGGGCAATTGTCTTTGCTTTGTTAGAAACTCTAGAAAATGTCAAACCCGTTCACCTTTAGGGGTCCATAACAAATGAAAAACAATGTAGCAAAAGCACGTTATATGAAAAAAATATATAATTTTATGAAGAAAAGTTGTTTAGAATTAAATTTTATGGTTACATACCAGTTTTGAAGGTGAATGGAGAAAATAAATGAAATACCAGCAGCACTCTTCTGCTCTATTTCTCAAAATTATTTTATATCTAATTGATGCAAAATGGGCTGCTGCAGTACCAGATTTACTTATTAAATTATCTTACGAGTTATATTTCAAAAGTAAGGACCGATCAGTTAGAAAAGGAGAACAAATAAGAAATTGGAAAAGATACGAATGGTTCTAAATCCCCATATATGCATATACAGGGTGTCCAGAAAGGTCATGTCAAATGAAGCAGTATACAGGGGAGCTCAAAATAGTTGTAGTACTTCATAAAAATTTTTTCCTATCGGGCTTCGTTGTGGAGTTATTCGCCTTCAAAGAAAGAAGTTTGAAAACAAATTCCAATTGTAACTTCTAAGCCGTTACCATGACAATAATTAAATTTGGGCAATTATTTAAAGTAACTCATGGTAATGTTCATTTCCAAGTTTAAACTGATATTCAATATGCCTGGATTATACAGGAGCAGACGAAATTATCCATTTAAATTTAGACATCTTTGACAGCGTTGCCAAATTTGGCATTTTCCTTTCATAGTTCGATTCCTCTCTCAATTTGCTAAAAAAAAGGTAAACCATATATCAATCATTATCTTGTACCATTTTTAAGAAAATCGATACATGTATTGTATCAAAAATGTGATATTAACATTTTTTGCAAAAATCTTGGAAATTGAGATGACTGTCAACAAGTATGTATAATTAGCAGTCATAAATCATTTCGATGCCATTTGTTGATTCAATATCATGGAGGATTTTAGCTATGAAGAAGTTGCATCTAATATAAGAACCTGCAGAATGTAATGCTTCTGAAGCTGATCGGATTTACGCCAACCGTTTTCCAAATAGAATAGAATTTGCATATTTGAAGTGACGAAAACCCCCATGCTATTATTCAGACAAAACACCAACAAAAATTTTTGTGAAAATTTGTTGTTACGCTGATGGTGGTTAATGATAAATAATAAAAAAATAACGTCCTCAACAAATAAAGAATGATTTACTAACAAAATCATAAGGTTAAAATACATAAGTTACTAGAACAATACAAATACAAATTAAACATTCAAATCAAAGGTTCAAAGTGACGTCTTTCCTCTTCAATGCATAAATTAGTTCTTCTTAAAAAATTCCGACGAACCCTATGGCATATTCCTTTCTTTTGCTTAATTACCTCACAATTAGCAACAATTCTTTCTCTCAGTTCATCGACGCTGTTCACAGGTGTTCTGTATACAAGCGTCTTCAGATAGTCCCAAAAAAAGAAATCGATTGGGTTTAAGTCAGGGGATCTAGGGGCCCACTGTACAAAACCACCGCGTCCTATCTACCTTTCAGGAAAAGTTTCATTTAAGAATTCTCTGGCCGCTAAACTAAAATGTAGTGACGCGCCATCTTGAAGCAGCCACATTGCATTTCTTAATCCGAGTGGTACATCCTCCAGTAGAATAGGTAAGTGGTTTCTTAAAAAATCCAAGTAAACTTCATCATTGAGTCTTTATGGAAAGAAATGTGGCCCAATTAAGTAGTCCCCTACCCACATGTTGACGGAAAACTTATTTTGATAACCACGCTCTATTGATAAATTAGAATTCTCATCAGACCAAAAATGCTCATTGTGGAAGTTTATAAGCCATCATGGCCAAATCCAGCTTCGTCCGTGAAAAGGATATTACGAACAAAATTTTGGTCACCAACATGAAGTATTCTAATTGTATTGTAGAAATTCACACGAGCAGCAGGATCTACGGCAGATAAGGTTTGCACCTTTTGGTAGTGGTACGGATGAAGGTTTTGTTCGCGTATTGTTTCATGTACGGAGCTCTTTGGAATGCCCTCCTGAATAGCAATTTTTCTAATACTTACATTGGGATTATTCTCTATCGAATTCAAAATACGAGCATCTGCTTCTGCTGTTCTAGTATTCCGTTGTCGACCTACATCAAAAATTCTAGTTTTGAACGATCTAAATTCTCCCAGTCTTCGATGAATAGTACTGAACATTCGCAATTGTGGTAGGTTTCTATTTGGAAATGCTTCGCGATACAAACGTCGTACTGCAAGAGCATTGCCAGCAGCTAAACCGTAATTATGTATTATGTCCCGCAACTCCACGTTAGAGTAATTGTTGTTCATTTTTATTATTATTTTTATGACAAAAGAAGTACTTGTACAAAATTACTATCTGTCAAAACTAATTCTCCACAAACTTGTTTTCAAGGCAACTAAGCGCTTGTTTCCAAAGCATGCTATGTTTAATGTAGAAAATAAATTAAAATGATTTCGTATTCATCATATGCAAGCAATGTTATTTTAGCGTTTTTCTCGAAAACGGTTAGATTTATGGAAACAAATAAATTATACTTTTTTTATGTCGAAAGGTTAGGAGAACCAAAATATTCAGTCAAATTTCGCATAAAGTGTAGCATAAAAAATTTGGAACCATTCAAATCAAAATAAAGGTTCGTATGTGGCGCCCTCTACAAAATGCGAAAAAATGGTGGGCAAATTTATAATCCTCATCCCGAGAAACCCCCATATACGAAATTTCGTCAAAATATTATGAGTGTGGCAAAAGGTATTGGAAAAAAGCTGCAAATAAAATTTAATTTTAACACCTTGTAACTCCGTTAGTAATCAGTTTTGGAAAAAATTTTATAGAAAGAGGAAGGATTTATTTTCGGTCTAGAATTATCCCCTGAATTTTTTGCTCATCATTTCCGAACACCCTGTATAACTTAAGTTGAAAATACATTTTTTAGATACACTGTTAAACCCTTCACAAGTCTTGTTTGAACTTTTTTTTTGTTATTACCATAGCAACGTCAGTATGAAAGACGCTATCTTGAAATTTTTAAATTGTCATACCTTCTAAATGCCTTAATCGATTTCAATAAACGATGGCTCATTTTAAAGAACTATTAATAACATTTATATTTATGATATAGAAATAAAAATATTATTTTCATGCACAACGGTAGACAACGCTAATGAGAAAAGTTTTGTAATTGTCTCCGTTTACTAAAAAAATTAAATGCAACGATATAGATTTTTATTCATGGCTTGATAGACCATTAATTATGGAAAACTACACAAACCGGAGGTCGATATGTTTTTTCGTTTTCAAGTTATTGCTAAAGTAGTG